AAATCTTGTGAGGAGCCAGCAGATGCATTAGCCTTGATACAGAAATATTTCAGACCAATGAAATTCAGTGACATAAACAGTCAACCAAAGATGGAAAGTTAAAGCAAAACAAACATGGCTGTGCCGGTTTTAGCTATTTCTTTTTGAAAAGCGAGCAAAGGAACACAATTTTTGCCTTTGTTGATAGGAAGATGTTTGTCCGTTGTCCAATTGGATGTGTTAAGGATTTGATTTATCAGTTACCTCCTCCAGTTGTGAACCAAATCCAGCTGCTACTGCTGCTGTGATTGGCTAAAAACTGAACTTGGGTTATTGAAGATGACCTTGAAAGTAAGATCAAATTTCACAAGATTTGTGATTTCACACATTTATTGTTGATTTGGCTTAAGTTTTATTTATCAGTTATCTCTGTGTTGCCTTGTACAGGAGGACCAACATTAAATCTGCCCTTCATTAGTCGGATGAACGGGTTTATAGTTACCCGAACTAGGGAAGTGCTGGTGTACAGTGACTCCAGTGACAACAAAGTCAAGTGGAGTGACTGCGGTGATTTTGTTGTGGAAGACTCCCAAGGGGTCAATCAGGCTGAAGCGTGGCTAACACAGAACAAGCTGGTGGTAACAAAGGCAGTTGGACAGGCAGGTCTCGAAAGCAATCTGAGACCTCTCTACAAAGACACCAAGAGAAAGTGAAGACAGCAGCTGATCTAGGAGGGAGTCCAAGCAGGGGTGAAGGACATCTGCCGCAATAGGGATGTGGAAGCAAGGTGCATGGACCCAATGGGAGGAGGCAGCTGATCAGAAGATCTCGTGATTAGAAGTATGGAGATCTGAGCCACACCAGATCAAGTTAACCATACAGTCCGTATGATGTGCTCGGAAGCCCATCCAATCTCTTCTGCTGGGGCTTGACCAAGACTCCACTATTACTACTCTACCAGCAAGCTGGATTGAGTGGAGCACATCTGGCCCCTACCTGCCGGCCAATAAACAAAAGATACAACACTGATGGTGTGTCTAAGTTGCACCAAGAGTGCTTGTAAGAATGTCTGTGGTTAAACAAATCAAGAATATGATACATCACAGCTATTGCTGCTGCTATTGGCTAAAAGCCTGAAATGGGAGGCAGGTGCCACGGTGACTTACTCAATCAGCTTAAAAAATTGTACCAAATATCACTTCCTTTTGAGAACACTTCCTAAAGAAGCCTTTCCAGATACCATTACACCACTGATTCCATTCTTACTTGAAATGTGTCCAACTTCAAAGTACTTCAGTGTTTGTATGGCATCAGACAACAGGGCCTCAGTAGGAGAATCTAGATCACGGATGGACAATTCCAGTTCCTGAGGGCCAGTATCCTGCAACTTTTAGATATGCCTTTGGTTCAACACACCTGAATCAAGTAATTAGATGATTTATAGTACTCTGGGGGAACTGACAGCATACTGAGGAGGTAATTCAGCCATTTGATTCAGGTGTGTTGGACCAAGGATGGATCTAATAGTTGCAGGATACCGCCCCCCAGGAACTTGAAATACCCACCACTGATCTAGATAAAACCAACTCCAGTTGGATTTAAGTACTGTATAAGGTTGCATCTGTGCTTCTCAGCAACACTCTGCTGCTGAGGTGGAAAGTTGCCGGTTTGATAGCAGCTCTGGAATTGAGAAATGCAAACAAGAGACTATAGAACTCTGAATCGTGCCTTGGAAATACTGCAAGTGCAATGTACCACATGGCAATAGCACTTTGCTATTAGCGTGTCCTTCATATGGATTCAAAAGTTAAAAGCCCCTGCTCTTGATTCACAGAAGTCAGTCATTTTTGTTAGCTGACTGTGCAAGGATGTAAATGGCAGGCAATGTTCTACGTTGTGAAGCACTGCGGAGACAGAAATGGACAGATAAAGCAATATCAACAATGTGGCACTGCACTAAGTTGTCCAAAGAAGGAGCAAAGGAAAATGGGATTTGTATTGTATTGGAGACATACCGCTGCACAAAAACAAACTGGAACCTGTGTTTACTAATAGATTTTCTCGAGAGTTAGAAGCAAATAACCTGTGCACCTACCTCTCTTAGAAATTGTGAAAACCATTTTCTTGCAAGAAAATAGCCTTAAGCCGAAAAGGTTTGGCTTGTTTCATGTGATATGCAAGTGTGATTAATTAACCAAGCTTTCTGATGCACAACTCACAACAGCAAGAACTTATGTCCTCAGATATTATGAGGCTCACAAGCCAAAAGTGAGCATGATTAATACCAGAACAAAAGTGGAGGCTCAATGCAGCTCTACTTAATACTATACCTGCTCTGGACATGACTCCCAAGGCAATTGTCGAGGCAAACAGCCTTAATAAATGTAATTAGTCATCATGAACCTTAATATCTGCTCATATAACATAAGGGAATAGACGTTGGGCACGATGAAGCTGGTATGGATTCCTGCCTTGTTGTCAAAAAGCTTTTGGAAGGCTGCAATTTATTGTGAATGTAGGAAGCAGTTATATCAAAGCAGGATTTGGAAAGGCTGAACTCCATTCATAAAGACTTTTATGGAGCAGGAGAATCCAACATTGACTTTTGTGCCTTCACACCTGGTGGCAGAATTCTTGCTGGTGTGGCTGTGCTATGTTATAAGAAGTTTGAACAACTAATCAAACTAGTCAGGCTGAATGTTGACTGGGTCATTGGTCTTGAGTTTTGTTTTGGAAACAGAAAAATCCCCCTACTGACCAATTACACCACTTACGAGTGCTCTGAAAATGAGTTTGAGTAGATCAATACACTGGCCCATATTAGAGTTTTTATACAGGACAGTGAATTAAACACTATTTTCATTAATGGTGATATAAATGGTGATAATTTCAAAGGTCTATATTTGATAACCATTTGAGGAATTTCTGCTTAGATTGTTCGCTTCTTCTCTCCAATTGCTCAACAATTGTGAAGATTAGATTTACCGCACTGCAATATATACAACCCATGTGTGAAGGCACTATTTAATGAGCCCTTTGAAAGGATTAAATGCAAGATATAATGATGTTATATGGATACTATCAAGTCAAATGAAATTTACTGTACATTTTAAATGATTAACAAACCATAATAAGCAGCCCGAAAATTTTATTTCAAGCTGCCCATGCCCAAGTTAAATCTCAAGACTTTTTTTATATATAACCAAGTCAAGTTTAAGTCAGGAGCTGCACAGTAAAGCAGTGGGTAGCCCTGATGCCTTGCAGCAAGAAGGTTCTGGGTTTAATTCCTGCCCTGGAGTCTTTCTGCATAGCATTTGCATGTTCTCTCTGTGCATGCGTGGGTTCTCTCCAGGTACTCCAGCTTCCTCCCACAGTCCAAAAATATGACTATTAGGTTAACTGGTTTCTCTAAATTTTCCTTAGGTGTGAGTGTGTGTATGTGTGTGTTTAAATGTTGTGTGTCTCTGTCTTGCACTGCGACAGAATGGCAACCTGTCCAGGGTGTACCCTGACTGGAACTGGAAACCTGACTGCTGGAGATAGGTACTGGCCCCACCTAGACCCTGATAAGGATTAAGCAGGAGAAGATGGGTGGAAGTCTAAAGTCAAATTCTGAGCTGCAATACTAAAAAAAAAGCTAAAAAAAACAAACAGTTAAACTGGTTCAGGACTGGTTAATGTGCTCCAGTTAAATTCATAAGATGCATAGTATTATGCACCATAAGATGGGGGTTAAACTCTTTTGCAGCCTTTTTTGCAACATTTGGGATAATAAATCTCACTTGTTTAACACATGAATAAAACGTCAGTGACCTCCTCAGCATGCAGTATTTAAAATACCATTACAGATTGGATAAGGTGAATGATTAAAATTAATAAATATTACAGTAAAATACAACAAATACCATTAGAAAGTAAAGTATTTAAACATGGCAAATAAAGTAATAAAAAATAAAGCAAACTTGGTGGCATTAAAGAAAACAAACCTGCTTTAAAAAAAAAGGTACAAGACAGTTAATCCCCACACTCCAGTCAACAAGCATTGGATCCTTGGAGGAATATTTCAAAAAAGACAATGCATTTACTTTGATTTAAAAAGAATGCTATGTATAGATTACTTACATTTAAATTAATATATGACAAGAAAATATACTTCTGTTCTGACAATAAGTTCTTAAATCTAATTAAAATTGGGGATCTGCATTATATACTTCATTAATGCAGCATGGCGTGGATGGGTTTAGCCTAATGCTCTGAGGAAGCTCAGTTCGTGGTGATCTTCAGCTCCTCTGCTTTGCTGCTTCTGGCTAATCATAATTTCTTCTGGGCCATACTTCATATATTCTCAGTGGGGACTTAGTTAAGTCAGGTTGCCCACAGAATAGTGACACTGAAGTGATCAAAGCCTGCAGTGGTATTTTTGGCAGTGTAGGCAGATCCTAAGTCCAGCTGGAAAATAAACCTAGCTTCTCCATATAGCAAGCAGAGGGAAACATGGTGAGCTCTAATATTTCCTTGTAGAAGACTGTACTAAACTTAGACATGATAATGTAAATGGGACCAACACCAGCAGATGCCATGACCCTCCAAGACATCACTGACAGGAAACTTCACACCTTCCTCCAGCTATTTTGATTCTGTGTTTCCTATAGACTCTGCGACTTCAATTGAAATGCAAAAAGGACTTTTACTGGAAAATGCATTTGCACAGCTATGCAACAGTTGATCCCTTTTAATGGTGTGCACCCATAGAGCTTGTATGTTACTTAAATACATCTAAGGATACCAGTGGAAAGTTAAATGGAAGGTAATCTTACTTAAATGCATATGTATACTAGTGGAAAGCTAAACAGAAGGAAAAACTGGGACATAAAAAGGTGCACAAATGACATCCGTTTGGATAATATTCTACATAATGTGTCACATGATGCATAATTTTAACATTTCTACACTCTAAATACTTAAATGTTTGGGATTCTTTACAACCATTTAAGGCAATAAAAATAACAACAATACCTTACCTGTTTCTCCAGCGCCTCCTTCCCTGTCGTGGATATCTTTGGCGCCGGTGTGCGCTCGCAGGTGCATCCTTCCAACAGGTAAATCCCAGCTGGTCGTGCGCTTTGCTCATTTTCAAAGTAGAACAATACATTCTGGTAGAGGGCGAAGAACTTCTCTGACCATCGGCTGTTCTCCGCCGTCTTCTTGCTCAGGTAGCCGCGCTTAGTCCCCTCTTTACGCGCCACCGCCGACAGAAACAGTGCGTGTCCTTCGTTGTAACGAACGCTCTTCTGCATTGTTGCCTCACGTCTTGGAAGGCAGAGAGAAGAAGATGGAAGTTTTCATTGTATGCCCATGATCCCAGCAGGGTTCATGCAAAACTTTCCCCACCAAGAGGCTCTTCAGTGCCGCGATGGCGTGCGAAAAAGTTGCCACGGTGATGAGAGCGCAGCGGAGGAAGAACTCATTTTGGAGATGCGCCGATCCAACAAGCACCGGTCAGTAAAGAAACGCTTCTCTCCTCTATGAGGAGAACTGAACCAGGAGGGAAACCCCTCCAGAGGAGAAACAGAGATAGGATCACAGGGCGACAAGCTGTAATCCGCTTTGGCGGTTGTTAACTCTCTCCCTCTTGCGCTCAGAGGCGCAGTGTCTCCATCGGTCTCCCGCTCCGTTATGCGCACTGATCCTGGAGTTGGTGAATTAAAGGCGGAGCGAGAGTTGCTCGTTTCATCAGGAGAGATATAGAGAAGAAACTGCTCTGCTTAATAACAAGTGAAAAGATTGAAAAGGCTTTTTAACGATATTTTAATTAGACTTTTATATTTGAGCTGGCCGCTCTTTACTCAAATATCCCGAAACAAATTCAACCTGCCTTGGTCTCAGCACAAATGTACCTGCTTTGAAAGTTTAAAAGGTTTAGCAGAGAACAACAGGGAAAAAAATTAATAATAATAGCAAATAGTCCGAATAAACACAACACACAGAGGTGGAGATAAGTTATAAAACATAAAAACTCTTAACAGAGCATAGTTAAAACTACTATGTTTAACTAGAGTAAATAACCTGCAAACCAAAAAAGAAACATGCAACTCTGAAGGAGCTAGATCAATAGCTCATGTAGGAATATGCAAACTATGAACTTTGGACTCTACAAATTATTATTAAACAGTTGCACATCATCTGTTCCACATAGAAAGGCATGCTGGTGGTAGCATCAAAAGATGTTCACAAATAAAAGGAATAGATTTGTCTTTAAACTCACAATTATTCACTTCTTTATTTTGAGCTGGCACATAAAATCTCAAAGTGCATACAAGTTTCTGGTTACATTTTATGTATTTAAAGTCCAAGGTTTCCTTCACATTTTAGTTCAGAACATGTTTTTTGTTTAACATTTGTGTAACTCTTTCATAAACAGATCTGATGTAAAGTAACGAATGATGTTATTATTCCATAAAATACAGGGCCTTTGTTAACTTTCCAATCACTTCAACATTTTTAGGCCTAAGAGCTTTTTCTCAACCAATATTTGAGAGAAAAATGTATTTAATAACAATCTCCTCTCCCACCCTACCCTAGATTTAAAAAATAAAAAAAATAAAATTTTACATTTTTAGCTGCTTTACTTTTATACGGACTATTTTGTTCTTGCTATTGTAATGGCAGGTATTCCTCGTGTTTTCAGGCATAAGATGTCTAACTAGTTTATTACTTGAATCAATTCCTCTGCTTTGGGATTTACCTTAAGGTGGTGCCAGGTGTCTGTCCGCCAACCTGTTACCAGTCTTAACAATACAAACCATTCTCATTTCAGTTCAGTTTATAAACATGTGCAGTTCCTATTAGGAAATATCTTAATTAGATAGAAGTGACATAGAAGCTGGTCTATTGTCTTAATGGTATAGTTTCAGATATGGTGCATAATATTAAAAAAAAAAATTAACTTCATGCCATTTTTTTAATCGTATGAAATCCACTTCCACCTACTCATGTTTTATGGATTTAGATAAATTCACATTTTATGCACCAATCTAGCCTTCACCTGTTACGAATCTTAAATTTGAAATATGAAATAAATAAGGTTGTCACTTTGTTTACAAGAGTTTATCATTGAACATAATTCTACAAAAAGAAATATCAGATTTGTCTTGTTGCATTCAATGGTCTTTAGATTGGGGGATGGGGGGATGGGGCATGCTGCAAAGGTCAACCACCATGTATATTAATCCATATTTTAATATAAACCAAAAGTAAGTGATCTATTTTTATTCAATAATCAAGCAACTATAAGTTAAAAGTCATAAAAGAAGACAGGTCAAGCATTTTTATTTATTTTTCCACCAAACACACAAACACAACTGAGTTTTCAGTAAAAATATGATCAATTAGTTCTCAACTGACGTGATGACAGGTTACAGTAGCAAATGTTTTTAAATCATTACCATATTCTGAAAATCCAAATACTATAAAATCAACAAGCTTCTTTAGGGAAAAGGATAGTGAGCATTTAGAAATGTTCTCCAGGCATGTTCAGCTTTTGATTGCATAATTTACTCCTTCAAGTGTTTATAGTCCAATGATCATTGGATGCTGAGACATCAAGAGTTTGACTGCAGCCACTTTAGAAGGGAAGATTTATCAGAGATGCTCCAAAGATCTGAGAGCAGTTTCTTATACTTCCTAAAGAGAAACACAAAAACACAATAAAATGTTAAACAACTTGAAGCAGAAAATCAAAGCAAAGTCAGAAAACTATACTCAACTCCTTTGAGTATGATAGATGAGTTGGTCTAACATAGACCAAACATAAAATAAAAGTTTACACCAATGACGTATTTGGTATGTGTGCTGACAGATATTTTACAGGGTGGAAAGGAATGAGAATAAGGAGCAATGATACGTTTTAATAGACATAAGATAATATATAGGAGACATAATTTATTTTTCTACAGGTAAAGTATAAACCTCGATTTATACTGTATGTCAATCTTCTGTCAGTTCTTAGTGGAATCCTGGGGTGCACTCCTACAGATAACCCTTATGCATCAGCATCAACAACTGATGGATTTTAAAATTTTATATATAAACTTAGTGATGTAGCCAAAGTCATTCCAAACATTTTTTCTCTTCAACTTCCTTCACTGAGAGGCATTTCTGTCAGAAAGCTGAAACCTTCATATCGGCAGTTTCCATATTCATTGCAGGTAAAATTACTGTGGAGTCTGGGGTCTTTATCTTCAACACTGCAATTGGCAAATTAAGGCAGTAAAATATTGAGTCTCAGTTATCCATTTTTAATTTCAGCATTGCTCTTCAAGGAGGCAAAACATACATAGTTATCAGAAATTATGAGCCCTTTTAGCTTTACACACACACACACACACACACACACACATACATACATATATATATATATATATATATATATATATATAAATATTGTTGTGCTTCAAAATCTAAACAACCTTCCATTAAAGACCAGCTGCACAGCTGAATGCCAGAAAGGAGAGAATAGCACAACAACAAAAAAATTTTTTTAGCACAGCAAATTTCACATGTAGTTATTCAGTACTGATGCAAAAAAATAATAATTTAAATTGACAATTGGAAAACTTGTACAGGCAACATAGACATGAGAAATGTTGATCTAATTTCATAAGTCCTAATTCAGTGTTCATGTCTGTTTATATAACTTTTGCCCATTTTCAAACTTGTTTTTCCTTTTTTTGGTCACACATTGTTTATATAATTATCAAACAGATCAGATCCCAAAATGCAATTAAAACAAACATTTACATGCATTAAAAAAAAAAAAATTTCAAAAAGTTTAGGTAAACATTACATTGTCCCTAACTATGATTAAGCAGACCCAGTTCTCATTACTGACAGAGTTGAAAAATCAAAAGATTTCTTCAATAGATCCTGAAAGAAAACAGATAGTAGGCCAAACCACAATTAGAATAGAATCTGTTTTAATGGGGTTAAAACATTTTTTAAGGGATTATACCCGATTCTGCACAGGTTAATTAATGAGCCCTGACCCCAACTGCTGTTTTTCCCCCCTTGAGAAACGCTCATTCTCTATGACATTCACAAGATTATTCATGTGCCTCAAGCTAATGTACCATCCTATGGAACCACATTTCTATGTATGTAACAGAGGCAGATAAAATGTTACTAAAGCATAAAGTAACACACAGCTATGAGCTGCTAAAATATATTGAAGTTACCTAGCAGCACTAGAGTCTGTTTTGAGCAATCTAGTCCAAGGCAGTACTATAATGTTCTCCACCTAGAGTAATTTATGGCTACATTCACATTAAATGTGTTTATGCTGCGTCAATGTTATGCTTCAGGTCCTTCTTCTCTTCGTCTGTTGTTCTGTTAGGCTGTTAAGAAGCCTGTGGGTGCAATGACAGGCAGGGGAGATATAGCTGCTGTTCATCCCCTTGAGCTCTGACAGTTATGCTGTTCTGTACACATAGCCTGTCTGGCACACGCTGGAGGTACTGGTGCTGTAGAAAAGGCTCTGTCTTTGTTGTTGTGCTGCTGGCACAGAAAAGCCATCGCAGGTTGTCGCTGGTTATGAAAAGTCCAGTCTTCGCCCATCATGCAATTAATCAGTCAATTGTTGCTGTCAAATTACTTCTTTTAACTCATAGTACATTAGGTAAAAATAGTTTTTCTTATCCAGAAAATCAGGTATAGCTCTTTTAAGGCTTTAAGACTTCAAGTAAGCACGTTCAGAGCTATTAACCACGAATGCAGAGACAATGTAACAATGTTAAACCTATTTATAGCTGAGGTCCAAATTATTTAAGACTGCATCAAGAGTTCATCCAGAAACCCAGGTTAGCAACTAAAGCAATGACCATGATTCAACAACTAGGAAGAAACTGGGCAAAAGTTGAAACGAAGATATAAAAAAAAAAAAAAAAGATTAATTGGTTTGATAAAGAGAACTTGAAGTTGCAGATGTGCATCCTGTTGCATCTGTTATGAAACTGAGTTTTACAGTAGTATAATGGTTTGGGATCCTTGGACATTTAAATTCTGCTCCCTAGAAAATAATTACCTGTTTGTGACCCTAAGCTAAGGTGGTTCAAATTACTCAGTTAGTTCAAACTTTTATATTTGGGACAAAAAAGTAAAATTAAGGTTTTGGAATGGCCTAATCAAAGACGAGATTGTGTTCCTGTGGAATGCATGACTGTAAAACAAAAAAAATCTTTTAATGAAGTTGAATCAAAGAAATTAATCTACAAAACTTATGGTGAGCTGCTGAAAACACTTGAATTGTTTCCCTAAAGTCTGGACCAGTTTGGTTTAGTTATTCTGAATTAAAATGACCATATGAAATCTGCTCGTCTTCATTCAGTTTACTTTTGTACAATTACAATTTCATTGCTGACTTCAAAAAAGTGAATGTGACAAAACAGCCAAAACCTAAAAATCTATTAACATTTGTGATACTTTCCACTGCACTTATGATACATGGCTGAATTCAATATAAAATCCGATAAACTGAACAAAAATTAGACTGGATGAAAGGACTGCAGCAACTAATTAACCAAGATACATAAATGAGAAATCATAAATCTAAAAAGAAAATATTTATTTGATGCCGTTCCACATATGTGAAAAACATGTCTAGCAGGCAGAAA